CTCAAACACTAGGATATTCTGGGAAAAGAGGTGATGTTGTGTAGCGGTTAAGGATGGGCTGTGCAGCTGGGGAGATTTGAGGTTGAATCCCAGTTCTACCAATCACAGTTGTGTGGTCATAGCACCCTCTAAGCTGCGCTTTTCCAATGATACAACAGAGGGAAAAAGTATCTATTCACAGGGTTGTTTTGAGGAGGAAGTGAGAAGGTACACATAAGGGTTTAATATTGTGCCTTTCATAAAATAAGCACCGACACGTGGGTGGAAGCCTTCTAAAGCTTGGAACCCACCAGGCCCAGTCTTAGCTGTGGAATAAACAGGGTCTACCCACCAAAAATGGTAAAAAAAAAAAAAAACAAAACTGTATGTAAGTTTTCTAAAACAATTGGGGGTGGGGAGAGGGGGGCATTGGATGACGGCAGTCAGAGGGTACGATCTTGCACTTATAAGATAAATCAGTACTAGGGATGTGATGTACCACATGATAAATAGAACGAACATTGCCGTATGTTATACATGAAAGTTGTTAGGAAAGTAAATCCTAACAGTTCTCATCACATGGAAAAAAATAGTTTTTTCTTTTTTTTATTAACTTTTATTGGAGTACAGTTGATTTCCAATGTTGTGTTCATTTCAGGTGTACAGCGAAGAGATTCAGTTCTGCATATACATATTTTCATTCGTTTTCAGATCCTTTTCGCATATAGGTGATCACAGAGTATTGAGTAGCGTTCCCTGAGCTGTATAGTAGGTCCTTGTTGGTTATCTGTCTTATATACAGTAGGGTGTGTGTGTCAATCCCAAACTCCTGATTTATCCCTCCTCCCAGCTTTTCCCCTTTGGTAACCATAAGTTTGTTTTTGATACCTGTAAGTCTGTTTCCGTTTTGTAAATAAGTTCATTTGTATCATTTTTTAAAATTAGATTCCACATATGAATGATATGATATTTGTCTTTGTCTGACTTCACTTAGTATAATTTCTAGTTGCATCCACGTTGCTGCAAATGGCATGATTTTCTTCTTTTTTATGGCTAAGTAATATTCCATTGTATACATGTACCACATCTTCTTTATCCATTCCTCGGTCAGTGGACATTTAGGTTGCTTCCATGTCCTGGCTATTGTAATAGCACTGCAGTGAACATTGAGATGCATGTATCTTTTTAAATTATAGTTTTCTCCAGATATGTGCCCAGGAGTAGGATTGCTAGATCATATGGTAGTTCTGTTTTTAGCTTTTTAAGGAACCTCCATACTGTTCTCTATAGCGGCTGTACCAATTTACATTCCCACAAACAGTGTAGGAGAGTTCCCTTTTCTCCACACCCTCTCCAGCATTTATTGTTTGTAGACTTTTTGATGATGGCCATTCTGACTGGTGTGAGGTGATACCTCACTGTAGTTTTGATTTGCATTTCTCTGATAATTAGTGATGTCGAGCATGTTTTCCTGTGCTTTAGGCTATCTTTATGACTTTTTTGGAGAAATGTCTACTTAGATCTTCTGCCCATTTTTTGATTGGGTTGTTTGTTTTTTGATATAAGAGCTGCATGAGCTGTTTGTATATTTTGGAGATTAATCAATCCCTTGTTGATTGCTTCGTTTGCAAACATTTTCTGCCATTCTGTGGGTTGTCTTTTTGTTTTGTTCATGGTTTTCTTTGCTGTGCAGAAGCTTTTAAGTTTAATTTGGTCTCATTTGTTTATTTTTGTTTTTATTTTCATTGCTCTAGGAGGTGAATCAAAGAAGTTATTGCTGCAATTTATGTCAGAGAGTGTTCTGCCTATGTTTTCCTCTAAGAGTTTTATAGTGTCTGGCCTTACATTTAGGTCATTAATCCATTTTTTAAAATTTATTTATTTGGCTGCATTGGGTCTTCGTTGCTGCGCGCAGGCTTTCTCTAGTTGCGGCGAGTGGGGGCTACTCTTTTTTGTGGGGCATGGGCTTCTCATTGCAGTGGCTTCTCTTGTTGCGGAGCACGGGCTCTAGGCACGCAAGCTCAGTAGTTGTGGCTCGCGGGCTCTAGAGCGCAGGCTCAGTAGCTGTGGCGCACGGGCTTAGTTGCTCCACAGCATGTGGGATCTTCCCAGACCAGGGCTCAAATCCGCATTGGCAGGCAGATTCTTAACCACTGCACCACCAGCGTAGTCCCCATTAATCCATTTTGTTTATTTTTGTGTATGATGTTAGTGTTCTAATTTCATTCTTCTACATGTAGCTGTCCAGTTTTCCCCAGCACCACTTATTGAAGAGACTGTCTTTTCTCCATTGTATATTCTTGCCTCCTTTGTCATAGATTCATTGACCATAGCTTTGTGGGTTTATTTCTGGGCTTTCTATCCTGTTCCATTTATCTATATTTCTGTTTTTGTGCCAGTACCATACTGCTTCAATTACTGTAGCTTTGTAGTATAGTCTGAAGTCAGGGAGCCTGATTCCTCCAGCTCCAATTTTCTTTCTCAGGATTGCTTTGGCTATTTGGGGTCTTTTGTATTTCCATACAAATTTAAAAAACCTTTTTGTTCTAGTTCTGTGAAAAACGCCATTGGTAACTTGATAGGGATTGCATTGAATCTGTAGATTGCCTTGGGTAGTATAGTCTTTTTGACAGTATTGATTCTTCCAGTTCAATAACGTGGTATATGTCTCCATCTGTTTGTGTCTTTTATTTCTTTCATCATATCTTATAGTTTCCTAAGTACAAGTCTTTTGCCTCCTTAGGTAGGTTTATTCCTAGGTGTTTTATTCTTTTTGCTGCGATGGTAAATGAGATTATTTCTTTGATTTCTCTTTCTGATCTTTCGTTGTTAGTGTATAGGAATGAAGAGATTTCTGTGTATTAATTTTGTATCCTACAACTTTACTGAATTCATTGATGAGCTCTAGTGGTCTCCTGGTAGCACCTTTAGGATCTTCTGTGTATAGTGTCATGTCATCTGCAAACAGTGACAGTTTTACTTCTTTTCCAATTTGGGTTCCTTTTGTTTCTTCTTCTTCTCTGTTTGCCATGGCTAGAATTTCCAAAACTGTGTTGCATATAAGTGGTGACATTGGACATCCTTGTCTTGTTCCTGATCTTAGAGGGAATACTTCCAGCTTTTCACCATTGAGAATGATGTTAGCTGTGGGTTTGTCATATGTGGCCTTTATTATTTTGAGGTAAGTTCTCTCTTTACTCACATTCTGGAGAGTTTTGATCATAAATGGGTGTTGAATTTTGTCAAAAGCTTTTCCTGCATCTGTTGAGATGATTATATGGTTTCTATTCTTCAGTTTGTTACTGTGGTTTATCACACCAATTGATTTGCGTATATTGAAGAATCCTTGCATCCCTGGGATAACTCCCACTTGATCATGGTGTATGATCCTTTTAATGTATTGTTGGATTTGGTTTGCTAGTATTTTGTTTAGGATTTTTGCATCTATGTTGATCAGTTTTATTGGTCTGTAATTTTCTTTTTGTGTGTGGTATCTTTGTCTGGTTTTCATATCAGGGTGATGGTGGCCTCATAGAATGAGTTTGCAAGTGTTCCTTCCTCTGCAGTTTTTGGAAGAGTTTAAGAAGGATAGGTGTTAATAACTCTTCTCTAAATGTTCGATAGAATTCACCTGTGAAGCCATCTGGTCCTGGACTTTTGTTTGTTGGAAGTTTTTTAATCACTGTTTCAATTTCAGTACTTGTAATTGGTGTTCATATTTTCTATTTCTTCCTGGTTCAGTCTTGGAAGGTTGTACCTTTCTAAGAATTTGTCCATTTCTCCTAGGTTCTCCATTTTATTGACGTGTAGTTGTTTGTAGTAGCCTCTTATGATCCTTTATATTTCTGTGGTGTCTGTTTAACTTCTCCTTTTTTCATTTCGAATTTGATTGATTCGAGTCCTCTCCCTTTTTTTCTTGATGAGTCTGGCTAAAGGTTTATTACTTTTGTTTATCTTTACAAAGAACCAGCTTTTAGTTTCATTGATCTTTTCTGTTTTCTTCGTCTCTCTTTCATTTTTTTCTGCTCTGATCATTATGATTTCTTTCATTCTACTAACATTGGGTTCTGTTTGTTCTTCTTTCTCTTGTTGCTTTAGGTATAAGGTTAGGTTGTTTATTTGAGATTTTTCTTGTTTCCTGAGGTAAGATTGTATTGCTATAAACTTCCCTTTTAGAACTGCTTTTGCTGCATCCCATAGGTTTTGGATCATTGTGTTTTCGTTGTCATTTGCCTCTAGGTATTTTTTTTGGTTCCTCTTTGATTTCTTCAGTGATTTATTAAATTTTGCATATGAGATGATGGGCATTCACTAAACTTACTGTGGTCATCTTTTCACAGTGTATGTGACTCAAATCATTATGCGGTACACCTTAAACTTATACAGTGCTATACATCAATTATATCTCAATCAAACTGGAAGGAAGAAAATGAAACAATTGAGGTTATCTAAATACATTGCCCACAACAGCAATGATCAAAATTCTATTTCTTTTCCTTCCACTTCTCTTGCTTTACCAGATTCTCTGTACACTTCTTACTACGGGTCTCCCAAATCACTTCCGGCACCAGCCTGAACCACTTTCCCCCTTCCCTCCTCCTCTGTCTCTTTTAATGTGACATAGGAAGCCCCTTTTTCAGTGGGGAAAATGCCCATCTCCAGGAGTGGGAGGGGAGGAAGTCAGACAAGCAGGTACCATCTCTTTAATGAGCTGAGGAAAGAGAGAGTGACCTGGTTCACGTTTGTCCTGTCCCACGAGCTGTTATTAGTAGTAATTGTCTTATTGCTAAAGGGGCAGAGCTAATAATAATAACCCCAGAGCTGTGTTACCAGGAGGAATGGCAAACCCGTTCTCTGCTTCTTCACCCTGAGCTTCGTTTTGCCTTGGTAGGAGATGGCGAGAGGATGAATGGAACAGGAGGGTGAGGGTGAGACTCCAGCCTCCCTCCCATAGCTCCGAGTTCAAAGGTCAATGATGCCTTTCTCACTTTCTTTTTTTCTTTTTTTCTCCTACTTCTTAGTCTCGTCTGACCAGATCGAGCAGCTCCACCGGAGATTTAAGCACCTGAGTGGAGACCAGCCCACCATTCGGTAAGATCAGCAGCTGGGTTTGGGTGTCGGACAGGGCCATGACCTTTGGGGATGTCCCTTTCCATTTATCTCTTCCCCTGAGTGCTGGCTGGCTCTCCCAGAGCCCCTGGGTAGCCCCATTTCCTGAGACAAAGCTGTAGTTGTCGTAATGCTTTTGGTTCCTTCTAGACAAGATGTCCTCAGCCGGGAGGAAAAGAATCTCATCTGTTTCTACTGGGATCAGAAAATTATAACTGGAGTGAAAACAAGGGGTTGGGGACAAAGAGCTGGTCAGCCACCCCTACCTCACCTTGCCTTCCCTGGAACCCCAGACACACATGACAGGTCTGTTGAGTGCCAGGATCACTCCCAGCGCTGGGCACCCCAAAGATGATCAGTTGTGGTGCGGCTCAGTTCAGGGGCTTGAATGCTGTCACGAGGCCCCGGCTGTCGACCCCGCTTCCTCTGGTTGATAGTTCCAGCCTCAGATTTCTGTCAGGGAAAATCCATTTCACATTGTGTTATTTAATGTGAATCTTGTAGAAGTGGGTGGGTTACCTTTCTGTGAGGAGGAACGCCTTGGACTGTTTGCCGCCTTCTACGAGAGTGTGTTCAGTCTTCGGTGGTGGTTGTTATTTAGAACTAAGTTAGTGAGAAGTCGTAGTCAATGAGTCGAGCACAAAGTTGATGAGGAAGCTTCGAGTTGAACTAAAGCAAGCAGTTTCCAATGTAAAATGAGTACTGTTCTACCACAAACTTTCTAACAGATGTAGTTTCCTAAAATAGACATTCAGAGTCTCAAGGTTACAGTCTTGGAACCTTAAAATAAACCTTTAAATGGTTCAGGGAAACATGTTTTTTTTCTTAGTAAATGGACTTAAAATTTAACTAAATTTTTATGGAAAGCAACATGTAAAAACTATCCACTTTCTCTCGTCTGTCTAAACAAAGGCATGTTGTTAACCCAGTGCGTTATATTCTCAGAGCATCCGTTTCCAAAGCTCAGAGTCTGGTGGGCTCAAGGTTCTGATGGCCTCTGGTCTCAATTTGATTATATCCAGGGCGGGAGTAAATTAAATCAGGACTGACTTCTTGAATTCTACACATCTCACTCGCTCAGCCCAGTGAAGAGCCCAGCAAAAGTTCCTCTGGCTTCTCGTTGGCTCTGATGGGCTCACCTGCCCAGCGCTGAGCCAATCACCGTAGCCAGGGGTTAGAAATGCAAATTGTTTTTTCCCAGAGCTGTGAGTGAGCGGGGCTGGGTCTTCTGCCAAGGGCAGGGGTGGAGGGTGGAGTGATTTCCAAGGGCTTCCTTGGACCAGGGGCTGAGGAATGGGTGCAGGTCTCAGGGGAGGTGACACATGTGCACCTGGATTTTGGAATATGGAAGTGTCAAGGGCAGCCTTCATTCCTTTAGAAATTCATGGGCACATGCTCTGTGCCAGGTGGGCAATATCTGTGCTGGCAGGCGGGACCACCACGCAGCTCGCAATTGGGGGTGTGTGAAAGCGGGGCCCCCTTTCTCAAGATAATTTTCCACCAAGCTGTGCCCCCAGCCCTGTCATAAGCTGCCTTGGGCTTCTCATTATTATGGGTCTGGGGTCCGTGGGTCTTGGCTTGGTGAGAGGTCTCAGGTTCAAATTCCACATGTGTTTTCAGACTTGGGGGAAGCAGAAGCAAAACCCAGACTTGGGAAACATATCATATTTGGATCATCCGTATCCCTGGCTGCGTGACTTTGGGTTAATTGTTCTGTTTCTCTGAGCCTGTCTCCTCCGTAAAGTGAATGTGGTCATTTGGGATTTGATTTAAGCATTAAAGATGAGCAGATGCAGGATGCTTCTGCTCTGAGCTGGGTTCCTTGGCATTTGGCAAACAGGACTGTCATTATTCGACCGTTGGTGAGGTCATGAGGACCCACCTTGAGATGTCCAAGCAGTGGCCGTTGATTATAGGGCTGGAGTGGAGGTGGGGAGCACAGGTGCTGTGTGAGCAGGAGGTGGCAGTGCTGGTGGAGGCCCCTCCCACTTTGAGATTCCAGCATCCGAGCCCTGACTGTGTCGCCCAGCGGCCCCTCATGGGCTTTTGCAAGGATGTACTGAAACTTTGAGCTCTACACTGGTTCTTTTTTTTTTTTAATGTTATTGAAGTATAGTTGATTTACAATGTTCTGTTAATTTCTGCTGTACAGCAAAGTGATTCAGTTGTACATATATATATTCTTTTTCATTATGGTTTATTACAGGGTATTGAATGTAGTTCCCTGTGCTATACAGTAGGACCTTGTTGTTTATCCATTATTTTTTTAATTGAAGTATAGTTGGTTTACAAAGTTGTGTTAATTTCTGCTGTATGGCAAAGTGACCCAATTATACACATATATACAGACTTTTTTTTAAGTTATTTTCTGATCTTTTTAAAATTTTATTTTATTATTTGGTTGCACAGGAGGGATCCATAGTTGCGACCCACGGGCTCCTTAGCTGTGGCATGCGAACTCCTAGTTGCAGCATATATGTGGGATCTAGTTCCCTGACCAGGATCAGACCCGGGCCCCCTGCATTGGGATCGTGGAGTCTTAACCACTGCGCCACCAGGGAAGTCCCTACATTCTTATTCATATTCTTTTCCATTATGGTTTATCCAGGAGATTGGATATAGTTCCCTGTGCTATACAGTAGGATCTTGTTGTTTATCCATCCTGTATATACTAGTTTGCATCTGCTAACCCCAAACTCCCAATCCTTCCCTCTCCCTCGGCAACCACAAGTCTGTTCTCTATGTCTGTGAGTCAGTTTCTGTTTTGTAGATAGGTTCATTTGTGTCATATTTTAGATTCCACATATAAGTGATATTGTATGGTATTTGTCTTTCTCTTTCTGACTGACTTCACTTATTATGGTAATCTCTAGGTCCATCCATGTTGCTGCAAATGGCATCATTTCATTCTTTTATATGGCTGAGTAATATCCCAGTGTATATATGTACCACATCTTCTTTATCCATTCATCTGTTGATGGACATTTAGGTTGTTTCCATGTCTTGGCTATTGTGCACAGTGCTGCTATGAACATAGGGGTGTATGTATCTTTTTGAATTATAGTTTTGTCCAGGTACATGCCCAGTAGTGGGATTGCTGGATCATATCGTAATTCTGTTTTTAGTTTTCTGAGAAACCTCCATACTGTTTTCCATAGTGGCTGCACCCACTTACATTCCTGCCAACAGTGTAGGAGGGTTCCCTTTTCTCCACACCCTCTCCAGCATTTGTTGTTTGTATATTTTCTGATGATGCCCATTCTAACTGGTGTGAGGTGATACCTCATTGTACTTTTGATTTGCATTCTCTAATAATTAGTGATGTTGAGCAGCTTTTCATGTAACTACTAGCCATGTGTATGTCTGCTTTGGAGAAATGTCTATTTAGGTCTTCTGCCCATTTTTGGAGTGGGTTGTTTGTTTTTTTGTTGTTGAGTTGTATGAGCTGTTTGTATATTTTAAGATTAAGCCCTTGTCGGTCACATCATTTGCAAGTATTTTCTCCCATTCCGTAGGTTGTCTTTTCATTTTTTTTTAAATGGTTTTCTTTGCTGTGCAAAAGTTTGTAAGTTTGATTAGATCCTATTTGTTTATTTTTGTTTTATTTCTATTGCATTGGGAGACTGACCTAAGAAAACATTGGTATGGTTTATGTCAGAGAATGTTTCGCCTATGCTCTCTTCTAGTCTTATGGTGTCATGTCTTATGTTTAAGTCTTCAGGCCATTTTTTAGTTTATTTTTGTGCATGGTGTGAGGGTGTGTTCTAACTTCATTGATTTACATGCAGCTGTCCAACTTCTCCAGCACCACTTGCTGAAGAGACTTTTCCCCATTTTATATTCTTGCATCCTTTGTTGAAGATTAATTGACCATAGGCATGTGGGTTTATTTCTGATTCTCTGTTCTGTTGATCTGTTTGTCTGTTTTTGTATCAATACCAAACTGTTTTGATTACTGTAGCTTTGTAGTATTGTCTGAAGTCTGCGAGAGTTATGCCTCCTGGTTTTTTTTTTTCTCTCTCTCAGGATTGCTTTGGCAATTCTGTGTCTTTTATGGTTCCAAGTAAATTTTTGGATTATTCTAGTTCTGTGAAAAATGTCATGGGTAATTTGATAGGGATTACATTAAACCTGTAGATTGCTTTGGGTAGTATTGGTCTTTTAACAATATTAATTCTTCCACTCCAAGAGCATGGGCTATCTTTCCATTTCTTTGAATCTTCTTTAATTTCTTTTATTAATGTTTTATAGTTCTCAGCGTATAAGTCTTTCCACCTCCTTGGTCAGGTTTATTCCTAGGTTTTTTTTGTTTGTTTGTTGTTTTTGGTGTGATTTTAAAAGGTATTATTTTTTTACATTCCCTTTCTAATGATATTTCATTGTTAGTGTAAAGAAATGCAACTGATTTCTGAATGTTAATCTTGTATCCTGCTAGTTTGCTGAATTCACTTATCAGATCTACTAATTTTTGTGTGGCGTCCTTAGGGTTTTGTATATATAGTATCATGTCATCTGCATATAGTGACAGCTTTACCTCTTCCCTTCCAATCATTCTGTATATAATAGTTTACATCTGCTAATCCCAAACTCCCAATCCCTCCCTCTCCCAACCCCCTCCCCCTTGGCAACCACGAGTCTGTGCTCTATGTCTGTGTGTCTGTTTCTGTTTCGTAGATAGGTATATTTGTGTCATGTTTTAGATTCCACGTATAAGTGATATCATGTGGTATTTGTCTTTTTCTGACTTACTTCGCTTAATATGATAATCTCTAGGTCCACCCATGTTGCTGCAAATGGCATTATTTCATTCATTTTTATGGTTGAGTGGTATTCCATTGTGTATATGTTCTACATCTTCCTTATCCACTCATCGCTGATGGACATTTAGGCTGTTTCCATGTCTTGCTATTGTGAATAGTCTACACTGGTTCTTTCCCGGCATGAGTGTACGTGCAAATCACCCGGGTATCTTGCTAAAATGC